AAGAGTGCCTCTACCAAAATTGTGAATTTTATGGCCCCAGGGTCAGGTGTTCTGGTGTTAAGGCGGGGCTCTATTGATTATATAGTGAAAATGCATTAATTCTTTAAAATTCTTCTTCTCTGCTTCTGGGTATTAAATAAACCAACTAAGTAAATAGTTATGATGAGCAAGAGTGCTTCTTCCAAAATCAGGGGTTATGGTGTTAGAGCGTGGGTCTATAATGATTATATAGTGATAATACATCTATGAAAATGTTTTTCTCTACTCCTGGGTAATAAGCAGATGAACTACCTATATACTGTATACAGGGTTATTTTCGCCCCATCTTATTTTCGCCCTTTCACACTTGCAAACAATTTTGCCCCGTTTTAAATTCGCCCAGTCATAGTTTTGCTCAAGAAATTATACTGTATTCTTTGAATTCTCCCCGTTTTAAATTCGCCCAAATGAGAGTAGGGCGAAAGGGGCGAAAATAAAACGGGGGCGAAAATTTCCCTGTATACAGTAGTTATGATGTGCAAGGACTCTTCTTCCAGAATTGTGAATTTCAAGGCCCCTGGTTCAGAGATACCAATGGGGGGGGGAGGCTCTACTTATATACTAAAAATGAATTGTTTGAAATCTGCTCCTTGATATTATTCAAATATTTTTGATAAGCAAATTTGCCTTTTCAAAAATTGTGCAATGTGTAGACCTAGGGTCAGGGGTAGGTGTGTGGTAGGGGCACTTCTGATTATTGCTGAATATTGCTGATTAGTTGAAATGCATTTTTTGTTCCCCTACCCTGCTTATGGGTATAAAGTAAACAAACTAAACAATTGTTAAGTGTATAGTTATGATAATCAATGGTGCCTCTTTCAAAATTGTGAATGCCATAACATCTAGCTTAAAACATGAACATGAACCAAATTCAATCATTTGAAAGTTGTTGCATGATGCTCAGGTGACCTATAAAGCCCATGGGCCTCTTGTCTAGATGTGGGACCAGATTAAGTTTTCGGAGCAGCTTCATTCTAAAGTAACTATTAGCCCTATATTAATCTTTTATGGATGATAAATCTAAGGATGCACCCTAAAAGACCTGCTTTGGATGCTGGATGAAACATATGGAGTGGAGAAAACAAACAGTTTTCAAGATCAAAAGTCCATAAAACAATACAAAATAGGAGCAGAGCAAACACAGACCTCCAAAACATCAGAGGTGGGATCAGGTGCCATGGAGGAGTGAGCATCCCCTGCCGACCAGTCACTCTCACTGTGTGCTCCTTGTCATGATCAGGAAATAACAGAAAAATCTGTCATCAACAATTCAGTGTATAAATAATGGACTAACAATTAATATGAAAAATGTCAGTCAGCATTTGACTCAATGACAAATTGTATTTGCTGACAAGGTCATTGTAGTGACCATAGAACTTATGAAATGTTGACTTAAAATGAGACTGCTGATATTCTTGTTTCATCAACTCATTTGTCAATAATTTACCTCGTTTTAGAAATTGTTTATACACAGAGCATGCTCTTGGGTATTGAATCAACTACTGTAAATCACTTTTTATTCGCGAGAACTTTATTTTCGCGTAATTACGCGAGACAGTGTGCTCGCAAAAATTTAATTCTCGTGTGTAATAGTATTCCTTAAGAATAGATAGAGCAATAACCACAATTTGCGAAAATTTTGTCTCGCTAATCAAGAGTCAATGACTATCTCGCAAAAATAAGGTGTCGCGAAAATTTAGTGATCTACAGTAAGTTAACATACATTTTATGGGTGAGTGACCAGGTTAGATTTTTGGAGTAGCTTCATTCAAAAGTAAGTATAGGGCTTATTGGGACCAAACTTGCATAGATTATACATCTGTGGATGAAGATTTCTGGACTTGCTTCAGATGCTGTATCTAATCAGTCCTACATTTTCCAGATGAGGGACCAGGTTAAGTTTTTGGAAATACTTCATTCTAAAGAAACGATTTGTTTTCAATAAAACAGATGTCATTGGGAACAAAAGTTGTTATGTATCAAAATCAGCCATGTAAAAATATGAAAAAAGCAAATTCAAAGAATTGTGGTCTCCCGGTGTCTTTTTGGGTGAGGTGTCATTTTTAGCTCAGAGACCAAAAGCGCTTATGTGATAGTAATGCATCCGGCGTCCGTCCATCTGTCCATCTGTCTGTCTGTCTGTCTGTAAACAATTTTTCAAAATGCTATTCCTCCTACAGTTTTTGTCTGATTTCAATATAACTTGGCACACAAGTAGACTACACTAAGATACATAATTCTGTATATCGATTTTTGATTTTGATGAATGGTGTTGCCGTGGTCACTAAAAATAGAAATTTCTGTGAAATACTTTCAAAATGCTACTCCTCCTACAGTTTTGGTCTGATTTCATTATAACTTGGCACACAAGTAGACTACACTAAGATACATAATTCTGTGTATCGATTTTTGATTTCAATGAACTTTGTTGCCATGGTTACTAAAAATAGAAATTTCTGTGAAATACTTTCAAAATGCTACTCCGCCTACAGTTTTGGTCTGATTTTAATATAACTTAGCACACAAGTAGACTTTTGTTACTAAAACTAGAAATTTCTGTGAAATACTTTTAAAATGCTACTCCTCCTACATTTTTTGTCTGATTTCATTATAACTTGGCACATAAGTAGACTATACTAAGATACATAATTCTGTATATCCATTTTAGATTTCAGTGAACGGTGTTGCCGTGGTTACCAGAAATAGAAATTTCTGTGAAATACTTTCAATATGCTACTCCTCCTACAGTTTTGGTCTGATTTCATTATAACTTGGCACAAAAGTAGACTACACTAAGATACATAATTCTGTGTATCGATTTTTGATTTCGATGAACGGTGTTGCCTTTGTTTCTGAAAATAGAAATTTCTCTGAAATGCTTCCAAAATGCTACACCTCCTACAGTTTTGGTTTGATTTCAATATAACTTGGCACATGAGTAGACTACACTAAGATACACAATTCTGTTTATCGATTTTTGATTTCGAGGAATGATGTTGCCATGGTTACTAAAATTGAAAATACTCTAAAAGTTTATTAATAGCTACTCCTACAGCTGTAGTCTTATTGCAGTATCTTGCCACAAAAACAGCTCAATCAAGCATCATTATTCTATTTATTGCTGTTGTAAAGTAATTTAAGTCCCAACTGCTACTTTTGTCTTCATTTGTTATAAGTACAAACCAGGCCCTAGGATCATGAAACATCTTAAGCTTAATTCAAAATCTTCATGCTTTATTTAAATTTTGTAGAAGGCAAACAGATCAAAATTGAAATGTGTTTCAATTTTGATTTACAAAAATATTGTTTTTTTTGCAAATTTTCAGATCAACTCAATAATCAATAAATATTTTACAGGTGTTTGAAAATTTGACTTAAGTCTAAGTCTGTTTCATGATCCTTGGGCCTGTAGAGCTTCAGTCTCGACAGAGACTTCTGGTTTTAATGACATATTGTATCAAATATGAATGCCCTATCATATATCATTTAGAAATTATCACTGAAGTTGAATTTTTTGAAATAAGGTCAGTCATGAAGGTCAGAAATCATAGCATTAAAATGCATCTTACAAAAGCCTCTAATCTATTGCCAATCAAATTTAAAAGACAAAATTTACATCATTTGCTAGTCTTTAGTTGAAAATTAAATGACATCAATGCTATTTTTGATCATAATTATTATTGTTTTACCGGTACTTTGATGCATTGAACTAAGGAAATGTAGAAATGGAAAAAAAACCACGGGGAACTGTAATGCATTTTTGCTTCAAAATGGGGAAATCTCCAGTAGAGACAGTTATGCTGATTCATCAGACTCATGGAGGAAAGAATGTAAATAAGAGATTTATTTAGATGGTTTCAGCGATATTGGGTGGGTGGTGGGTCATTGAATGATCTGCAGATGACAAGGAGACTGAAAGATGAGAAGACGGACGGAAACCTTCAATGGTGTGTGACGTCAAAAAAGACGGACGGTTAGAGGGATATGTGAAGTTTTAAGTTTATCTTATGCTAGTTTTCAAAGAATTTTGACAGAGGAATTACTTATGAAAAGAGTGAGTGTACAATTGATACCATTCTTAAATGTTTTTAAAATGTGTCATATGACATTATTTAGGTGGGGTGACTACCTTAATTGCATGTTGTATATAATCAGATTTTTTGAAAAGTATAAATTCAGGTCTGATTTGAAATAAATGTAGCTTCCATCATCTATAATAATGTTTACTTATTTTATGCTGACTAAAGGTAGCAATTTTATCGAAGTTGTGACATTAATTTTCAATCAACCTTCGTATCATAATCATTAATTTGAATGCTTATTTTTAACCTTTCAAAGATGCGGACATGACAAATTTTAGTTCTGGATTCTTTATATGAAATACAAACTTTTGTTGTCCAGAAAAATACCTTCGTATGACTCACCTATAAGTGTACATGGAGTTTTGGACCAAAATACAGACATAGGCAAGTACAAAAGGTATCCTCCCTCCTTCCCCCTGTGTATGATGTGTCTATTTTTACCTTATGCTTATGGCTCATTTTGGAGAAAAAGCACATAGTGGTAGGCACATGTGTTGAAGTAGGGGGATCTAGAGGGAGCGTTTCTCTGTTGTTGAGTTGGGGTACTAGACAGGGAAAATCCATAGCTAGGTTATTTTGAGGTAAGTATCACTGTTCGCTTGTAAAACCCAGATTTACGAGAGAAATCTCTAATTTGCCTCACTTAAAAACAACTTTCATTGAGCTGAGCTCTGTAATCTCTGAATGCCTATGTTATTGTTTCTGTTTTAGAAGAAGAAGTACATTGTTATTCATAGTCCTATTTCATTGCACCACAGCTAGTGGTTCAAATTTGATGAAGGAAATTAAAACAATTACTGGTAGTTAAAAAAAACTGCCTATAGATATGAATTTTAATGACAATTTGTCTTTCATTGTAAGTCATATGTCTGCTTACAGAACCAATAACTTTAGATAAAAGACTCTGGATCACACAGCTTAAAGAGATGGATAATGTTGCTGTGCCAACAGATGAAATACCTGTAAGTAATACTACTGTATAAATCCAGTAAGAGCTTAATAATATGTATTAATTGGTATTCTCTAGTCTGTAAATCTCACTGTTAGCTTACATACATGTAAGACAAAATAGAGCCTTTCTCATTTATTTGCAAGCACCATTCAAAGCAATATATAAATATCTTGCCTCAAATCTGAGATTTCTACCTCAGCAGATTTTTTTCTGAAACGATGTGCCACCAACATTTCTGGGATATAATGGACAGGGCCACAATTGACGATCAAAGTTTTACATATGAATATATAGGAAAAATCTTAAAACTTTTTCTCCTGAACCATTGGTCCAGGAAAGGTAATACTCATGTGGAATCATCCTCTGGTGAAGTAGATTCAAGTTTGTTCAATTCATGACCCCTGGGGGTAGGGCAGGGCTACAATGGATGATCAAAGTTTTACATATGAATATATAGAAAAAATCTTAAAACTTTTTCTCCAGAACCATTGGTCCAGGAAAGATGAAGCTCAAGTGGAATCATCTTTAGGTGAATAAGTTTCAAGTTTATTCAAATAATGACTCATGGGGGTAGGGCTGGCCCACAATGGATGATCAAAGTTTTACATATATAGGAATATATTGGAAATTTTTTTTTAAATCTTCTTCTCAAGAATCATTGTGTCAGAAAAGTTGAAACTTGTGTAGGATCATCCTCAGGTAGTGAAGATTAACGTTTGTTCAAATCATGACCCCCGGAAGTAGGGTGGGGCTACAAGGGACAATCAAAGTTTTACATGGAAATATATAGGAAATGTTTTTAAAAATCTTCTCAAGAATCACTGTGTCAGGAAAGTTAAAACGTACGTCAGATTATATTCAGATAGTGTAAATTAAGATTTGATCAAATCATGACCCCAAGGGTAGGGCTGGGCCAAAAAGGATGATTAAAGTTTTTACATGGAAAATGTTTTTAAAAATCTTTCAAAATCTTCTTCAGTAAATCTTCAGCAAAGCCATGATTGGTGATATTAATATGGAAACATCCTCAGGTAAAGTAGATTCAAATTTGTTCAAATTATGACCCCTGGGGGGTAGGATATGGCCAAAATGAAAGTCCAAACTTGTAGGGAAAAAAGCCACATTAAGTCAAAGAAATATGTTTACAAGCATCCTCGGTCAATTCAAGCTAATTTAAATGATACCCCACACACCCCTTTTTGTATTAGGGGTAGGTCAGGACCACATGCATTTAAGCTTTTCAAAACTGGATTGATTTTTGCTTTTTTCCTGGCCACAGTGCTCAGGCGAGCAATGTGGCCCATGGGCCTCTTGTTTTAATTGTGTCTCTTTTATTTGGAATTCTGACTTTTGCCATAACACCAGAACACTATACTCAGGGGCCGAAAATTCTTAATTTTGGGTAAAGGCTAAAAACTTTTTAAAGTATTGCCTACAGGGTAAAGATTGCAGTAATTTTTATAACCCCAAGGGTGGGTTCCAAGAGAAGAAAATGAAAATATTCAAATTGCATAAACAACTACCAGACTATCTGTTCTGTATCATGTATGACTATATTGGTCCTCACTGCTTATAATAAAAGAAATTTATTTCCTCTAACTGGTCACAAAATATATCTCCACTTCGTTGCAATTAATAGCAATCCAAAAACACTTTTTGGCAAATTAACACTGCTTTTTCATGAAAAAAAAAATATAATTAGAACAAGGATATCTCTTAATTGGTGGATCTAAAAAAGTATAAAAATTTTCAGGTCCTGAGACTTCCAAAGCAAGGTTGAATTGAGTTGATTAAATGTCATGGCTCATGGATCTCTTGTTTTGATAATTCTTATAGATTGACCCAACAGGAGAGTACAAATCTGTAGTTACCCTGAAGGGATTTGAACCCACATTCAAGTTGGCTGGAGGGATCAATTTACCCAAAATTCTAACTTGTTTAGGATCAGATGGAAGAAGACGTAGACAGCTTGTCAAGGTAAGTCATCAGTGAAAAAACATTTTCATGTAATCAAGACTGCAAGCAGGCATCTATAGGAAGTGACCACTGCTCATCAACAGGCACTTTTAACCTCTTTTCTTACTTCTCTAAAGGTTTTAGGTCACCTGAGTCACTCAGGTGACCTAATGCTATCTGTTTTTGTCCATTGGCGTTCGTCATGCATCATGCCATTTGAACATTGCAGCTTCTTCTCTGAAATCACTAAACCAATGTCAACCAATTTTGGCATACAGCATCTATGGGTGAAGGGGTACAAAATTGTGAATTTCTGGGTCCCTTACCCCCTGGGGCCTGAGGGTAGAGGCTAAAACCACTAAAATTAATGCAATTGTTTAAAGTCTTTTACTTCATTCATGGACATCAAGCAGTCAAACTGTTGGCATGATTGTAAAAAGCAGTGAGCCCTCTACCAAAATTTGAAGTTCATAGCCCCAGGGTCAGGGGATTCTGGTGTTAGGGCAGGGCTATATAGATCATATACAAGAGTGTCTCTTCATAAATTGTGAATTTCATGGCCCCAGGGTCAGAGATTCTGGTGTTAGGGTGGGGCCTTATTGATTATATAGTGAAAATACATTGATTCTTCAAAAATCTTCTCCTCTGCTCCTGGAAATTGAACAAACTATGTAAATAGTTATGATGAGCAAGAGTGCCTCTTCAAAAATTATGAAATTCATGGCCCAAGGGTCGGGTTCTGATATAGAGGGGGGAGGGCTCTATTGTTTATAGTGTATAATGCATTTATTCTTTGATAATCTTCTTCTCTGCTCCTGGATATTAAACAAACTAATTAAGTATATAGTTAGAATGAGCAAGAGTGCCTTGTCCAAATATGAATTTAAACCCCTGGGTCAGAGGTTCTGATGTAAGGCTCAAGTGAGCTTTTCTGATCAAAATTTGTCGTCATTGTTGTTATCGTCATCATCTTCATTGTAAATGCTCCAAACTCGTAACACATAACCGGAAATTTTTACGTCACATAAAATGATGTTTTTACCCTCTCTCTATCCTTAATTTTCATTGGTTAAAAGCTTAGTAATGCTATAAATCAAAACCAAACACGGAAAAGCAAGGGCATTGACAGTGAAAGTTGGACATGTAGAATTTTAAGTCAGACACATATTGGTTTCAACATTTAAAGTACAATTTTCTTCATTTTTAGCTCTACTGGTCAGAGACCAGAAGAGCTTATGCGATAGTAAGGTGTCCGTCGTCCGTCCGTCCGTCTGTCCAGCTGTCCGTCTGTCTGTAAACAATTTTTCAAAACGCTACTCCTCCTACAGTTTTGGTATGATTTTAATGTAACTTGGCACACTAGTAGACTACACTAAGATACAGGAAATAGTGCATCGGTTTTTGATTTCGATGAACGATGTTGCCATGGTTACCAATAATAGAATTTTCTGAAATTCCTTTAAAACGCTACTCCTTCTACAGTTTTGGTCTGATTTCAATATTACTTGGCACACAAGTACACTACACTAAGATACATTAAATAGGGCATTGGTTTTTGATTTCGATGAACGGTGTTGCCATGGTTACTAAAAATAGAATTTTCTATGAAATTCCTTTAAAAGCTACTCCTCCTACAGTTTTGGTCTGATGGCAATATTATCCTTTGGCACACAAGTACACTACACTAAGACTACTGGTTTGTGTTAAAATAGGGCATTGGTTTTTGACGTTTCGAGTATCGGTTAGTAAAACTGCTATTCGGTTATGGCATAGTCAAGGCTAAAAATAAATGTATTATAATTTATAAATGTATAAACTTACACATTTCCGTAATTTTAGGTACCGTTAGACCTCCTACATGGTTTTAGTGATTCAAATTGTTTTGATTGGTTTTCACAGTTTATATAATTGATAGCTTTGATTGCTTGGGGTATACATATTTTGAAGGCCTGAGTTATAATTACCTCATTTGATAACGAGATGTCGCCGCAGACATGATAAGCTTGGAGTTGTAACAAAAGAACAGCTGATTCAAAATATGTTTAATCACCTAAGCATAAATTATTCGGAAACCAGCGATTTACTGGACACTCCACATATTAACTATTAATTATGGAGTATGTAATTAATTATTCTCCTTGATTGCGACATATTTCAGGGGCTGAAAAAGAAAGTGTAAAATGGTGATTGACGATGACGTATTTATTTGTCTTTGTGTTTCGAATTCCCTAGTAATTTTCTTTATTTTAAAATCGTAAACATTATGTATGTATTGTAAATATAATGTCCCTATACAGTATATTTGTGCATTACTATAACCGATAAGTATAGAATAAGAAAATTAGATAATACTTTTCATCCGAGAGGTACTGTGTTTTAACCGGTTACTAAAAATTGTCCGATTTGCCATCACTAGTTAAAATGTAATTATGGAGCATGCGTTTCAGGAAATACATTACTTTAACATTACTTTACACTACTGAAAATTCAAATTCATTGAGAGGCTGTGTTTTAAAATTTGGTTTTGAAAGAAGTAGGAAATCGTATTTTCTTTGAGTTTGGACAATTACCCACCCCAGCTTTTTTTCTTCAGGTAAGTTGATTTTTTTTTAATTGTCTACCCCTTCCCCAGCTTTCAAAAATATTACCAAGTCCCTGGGGGAAACTTTGTGAATATTGAAGTTATTTTTACGTAATATACTTAGCTGTCATCATATGGATTATTTAGATAAATTTTCCATTTTATACCAAGAAATTTAAATTAGCATATAGTATTTTGCAATCTATGATCTATAAATCAATGCGTTATATCGTGTAAATAAATTTTTACTTTTAAATTATCTCCAAAATTAACCCCATTTTATATAATGATTATCATGATCATAGGCAGAAAACTATATATCCCTCTATCTTTAAAGTGGAATCAGTAATCTATGGAACTAATATAATTTTCAAGAAGGAAACTTCTTTTTATTTCCTGAATGAGTGATGAGTTATAAACATATAAATCAAACAAAGCCATGAAAAAAATTGACTGTGGTTTTTAGATCACATTTTGTCTGGCGTCCGTCTGTCTGTCTGTTTGTCTAGCTGTCCGTCTGTCTGTAAACTTTAACCATTTTCGACTTCTTCTCAAGAACCGCTGGGCCAATTTCAACCAAACTTGCCACAAAGCATCCTTGGGTGAAGGGGATTCAAGTTTTTTCAAATGAAGGGCTACGCCCTCATTCAAGGGGAGATAATTGGGAATCAATGAAAATTTGGTGGCATGTTTTAAAAATCTTCTTCTCAAGAACCACTGTGCCAGGAAAGATGAAACTTATGGGGAAACATCCTCAGGTAGTGTAGATTCAAGTTTTTTCAAATCATGACCCCCAGCTTTTCTGATCAAACTTGTCCGTTGTCTGTCATTGTTGAAGTTGTCATCATCGTGTTAGTCGTAGTCGTTGTTGTAGTTGTAAACTTTTCACATTTTCATCTTCTTCTCAAGAACCACTGGGCCAATTTCAACCTAACTTGCTACAACGTATCCTTGGGTAAAGGGGATTCAAGTTTCTTAAAATGAAGGGCCACACCCTTTTCCAAGGGGAGATAATTATGAATTAGAAAAAAATTAACGGCGTTTTTTAAAAATCTTCTTCTCAAGAACCACTGGGCCAGGAAAGATAAAACTCATGTGGAATCATCCTCAGGTAGTGAAGATTCAAGTTTCTTCAAATCATGACCCCCAGGGGTAGGGTGGGGCCACAATGGCCAATCAAAGTTTTACATAGGAATATATAGGAAAAATTTTTAAAAATCTTCTTCTCAAGAACCACTGGGCCAGGAAAGATGAAACTCATGTGAAATCATCCTCAGGTAGTGTAGATTCAAGTTTGTTCAAATCATGACCCCTGGGGGTAGGATGGGGCCAATATGGCCGATCAAAGTTTTACATAGGAATATACATGTATAGGAAAAATCTTTAAAAATCTTCTTCTCAAGAACCATTGAGACAGGAAAGATGAAACTCATGTGAAATTTTCCTCAGGTAGTGTAGATTCAACTTCAAATCATGACCCTGGGGGGTAGGGTGGGGCCAAAATGGCCAACCAAAGTTACATAGGAATATATAGGAAAACCTTTTAAAATCTTCTTTTCAAGTACTTCAAAGCCATGATTAGTAATATTTATATGGAATCATCCTCAGGTAATGTAGATTCTAGTTCATTCAAATCATGATCCCCTGGGGGATTAAAATTCAAGCCCCCCCCCCCCCAAACCTCAGTTAACTTTTAGTTCTGATCTGATATGTGCTTTTTCCTAGCCGATGTGCTCAGGTGAGCGCTGTGGCCCCTGGGCCTCTTGTTTTGTTTTTTAGACTTCTTTTTTTTCATCTTTTTAGCTCACCTGAGCCGAAGGCTCAAGTGAGCTTTTCTGATCACATTTTTTCCGTCGTCCGTCTGTAAACTTTTCACATTTTTGACTTCTTCTCAAGAACCATTGGGTCAACTTTGACCAAACTTGGTACAAAGCATCCTTGGATGAAGGGAAATTTAAATTGTTGAAATAAAGGGCCAGGTCCCTTCACAAGGGGAGATAATCAAGAAAAGACAAAAATAGGGTGGGGTCATTAAAAAAATCTTCTTCTCAAGAACCACTGGGCCAAAAAAGCTGAAACTTACGTGGAAACATCCTGGTGTAGTGTAGATTCTAAATTGTTTAAATCATGACCCCTAGGAGTAGGGTGGGGCCACATCGGGAATCAAAGTTTTACATAGAAATATACAGGAAAAATCTTTAAGAATCTTCTTCTCAAGAACCACTGGGCCAGAAAAGCTGAAATTTATGTGGAGGCACTCTGGGGTAGTGTAGATTCTAAATTCTTCAAATCGTGAACCCCATTGGTAGGGCGGGGCCACGATGGGGAATCAAAGTTTTACATAGAAATATATAGGAAAAATCTTTAAGAATCTTCTTCTCAAGAACCACTGGGCCAGAAAAGCTGAAACTTACGTGGAAACATCCTGGTGTAGTGTAGATTTTAAATTCTTCAAATCGTGACCCCCGGGGGTAGGGCAGGGCCACAATTGGGAATCAAAGTTTGACATAGAAATATATAGGAAAAATCTTTGAGAATCTTCTTCTCAAGAACCACTGGGCCAGAAAAGCTGAGACTTAGGTGGAAGCATCCTGGTGTTACAGTAGTGTAGATTCTAAATTGTTCAAATCATGACTACCTGGGGAAGGGCGGGGCCACAATGGGGAATCAAAGTTTTACATAGAAATATATCGGAAAATTCTTTGAAAATCTTCTCAAGAACCACTGGGTCAGAAAAGCTGGAACTAATGTGGGAGCTTCCTGGGATAGTGTAGATTTCAAATTGTCTAAATTGTGATCAATTGGGTAAGATGGGGTCATAATATGTATTACAAGGGGGAAATCTGGTAAAGAACAGCATGGTCAAAGCGATGTGGCCCATGGGCCTCTTGTATTTTCCTCAGTTTGTATATTTTTCACTTCTTTGCAATTATATCATTCTGTTGCTGTTAAAATTCAGTGAGATGGTTTTTGCTTTACCTGTTTTTTCATTGTTTTTTTCTGAAATGAAACAATTTCTATAAGGTAAGTGATAAAACGTATCTTTTTTTTTTATTTCTTCCTTCCAAAAAGTTGCAGCAAATCGGTAGAATTTGATTTGCTAAAGCTAAATAATACTCTTAAATTGCCAGTATATTAAATTACATTATAATAAATTTTTCTAGTATTTTAAAATATGACAAAAACAAAATATTAAATATAATGTGTTGTCCGACTTTAAATTCTCCTCTGTCCAACTTTAAATGATCTAGAATGTAAAGTCAGACAGTTTAATTTTAAAGGTTTTTAGCTCACCTCAATGAAGTTGGGGGGAGCTTATGTGATACCCTTGGCGTCGGTGTCGGCGTCGGCGTCCCGGGTTAAGGTTAAGTTTTTTGGAGCAGTTTTCTTTTTAAGTACTTCTATGTCCTATATTGATTAGACATGCATGGAAGATGTTTCTAGTGTGTTTCATTGTACCAGTCCAAGATTCAGATGCTGCAGTTTAAACAAAGAAATGACCAGATTAATGTTTTTTGGAGCAGGTTAACATTTTTGGTGCAGTTTTTGGTGTAGGTCTCATTTACGAGTAACTATAAGCCCTATGTTGACCAAACTTGCATGGATGGTACATCTTAGGATGCATAGTACCAGATTTGCTTCGGATGCTGAATCTGACCTACATTTTCTGGTTGAGTGAACAGGTTTCATTTCGAAGATACTATGAGCCCTATAATGACCAAACTTGCATGGATGGTACATCTTATGATGCATACTACCAGACTTGCTTCGGATGCTGAATCTGACCTACATTTTCTGGACGAGTAAACAGGTTAAAGTTTATGGTGCAGGATTCATTTCCAAGTAACTTTGAGCTCTATAATGACCAAACTTGCATGGATGGTACATCTAAGGGTGCATTCTACTAGGCTGGCTTCAGAAGCTGAATCTGACCTACATTTTCAGGATTAGTGAAAAGGTTAGTTTGTTATACAGGTTTCATTTCCAAGTAACTTTGAGCTCTATGTTGAACAAACTTGCATGGATGATACTTCTTAGGGTGCACACTAATGGACTTGCTTCAGATGCTGAATTTGACATACATTTTTCAGATAATAGACCTCGTAAAAGTTATGGGTGCAGGTCTATCACGAAGAAACTATAAGGCTTATATAAACCAAATTTGCAAAATGATGCATCAAGGGATGAAAACTCTCAATCTTGCTTCAGATGCTGGATTTTAATTACATTTTCATGATGAAGAACAAGTTTGAAGTTTTATAGGTCTATTCCAAAGTATCAAAATCAAAATTGCATAAATTTTGCATTTTTGGATGTACAGTTTTTGTTGGTTAATTGTGTGACTTAATTTGCCTTACTTAAAGACAACTTTCGTTGAGGTGAGCTCTGTAATCTCGGATTACCTATGTTTATAAATAAATATCCACCAAAAAATTATTATTATGGGAATAATTAATATTAATCATGTAAAAGTATGATTTAATTACAAAATATATAAGCAATCACGGAGTACAAACGGCAAACTGAAGATTTCGCCAAGGATAACTAGGTCACCGCCGTCAGGTGCGCATGCGAGTTTTTATCTGGATCCATGAATACCCTGTAGACGGAGATACTTAAGAAAAATACATGTGACACAAAGAGCAAGAGCCACGTTGGGCCTTATTTGGCCCTGAGAATTTCCTAAAAATCAAAACCGCTCAGTTTAGGTTGCAAATGCAGCATTTATTACTTGGAGTGTTGGTGACCACGTATCTATTAATCGCGACGTACTTTTCCATCTTGTCAATGCATTATGATGTCATAAAATGCGTCATTTTCCTCTTATTGTGTAAATTCCTTTGAAAATGGCTTAAAGTTGAAGCATTTTTTCAATATTTCATATAGAGCACAACCTCTGATCCAAAAAATGCATATACGTAATGAAAGCTCTGTCTCTGAAGATCGAAAAACATGTTTTATTTTTTGGATCGTGGGCTGTGCTCATATTTTAATTCTTTGCTGAAGGTAGTCAAATACGCATGTTTTCTGCAAATTTCAAGAACATTGCAATTTCTCAGACCTGTTTTCCAATATCTGAATTCTCAAAACGAAATTTTATTATAGAAAATGAATTAAAGCACCAAGTGTCTACTTTATTTTGACATATAAAATGAGAAAGAGGGTGATAGTTAATTATTTAATATAAGTACAGGGCCAATTTATGCATAAGATGGCTCTTGCTCTTTAGTAACAATCTTACTGTGAAAGAGAAACTGTCTGACATTCAATGTTGTTCGGCTTTAGCTGTTTGATGTTTCTCCCCTATAGCATCGCACAATTTTGATTGACAGATGTTGCACAGGATTTAGTGCATACAGAGAACAAACTGATTTCTCACTATAGTTACAAGTGGGTTAAATATAAACCAAAGTTGTGGAAATTAAATAGTATTATAGAAAGATTAATTGTGACTGGCAATGTAAATAAAACGAAAAATTCAAGATAATAAAATTTTGTTACAGATAATTGTAAAAAGGGGTTGCATGAGTCTCTCTCTCTCTCTCTCTCTCTCTCTCTGATATTTTTTACACACTTTGCAAGAAAAGAATAACATACCAAGTGAAGGATATGGACCCAAGTCAAAATGAACAGCTGTAATTTAGCTGTTAATTAACCTTCCCAGTTCTCATTTAACAGCTGTTCTTTAGCTGTTCCTTAGCATTCCAGCATTCCAGTTCACTCACTTTATGCAAATTAGTAATTTGCATACACACATTCCAATAGCAGTTAACAGCAGTTATTTAGCATTCCCAGTTCTTTAGCTGTCGTATAGGCTGAAATATTTTAATGAGCTCTGTGAAAACAGCTGTCCGATATGAATATTAATGAGAACTGCTTCAAAAACTGCTGTAAGCTATTTAATATTCAGGAGAACTGCTGACAAGTATTTCCTTATATGGACATCCCAGTGACTTAAAACTGCTAGAAACTGCTGTAAAACTGCTAGGAACTGCTACATAATGCATACATACATGATTATTTACAACACCATCAACAATGTGTATAATTATATACAATTTATTATATTATTAGGAGCAACAATTTTAAATGAAAGAAAATGTACACATTATGTTCATAACCAATGTATTGGATCCTAATTCCTTTCTGTTAACAAACATACAGAACAGCATATGGAGAAAGTATAAACTCTTCAGCCACAAATTTAATAATTAATCATAAAAAAATATAAGAATGTGGCATTTTTAGATAATAAATAAAAAAGAAATCTATTCAAGTGGTAGTAAAAAGTACAACACAATTAGGTATTGGAACACAGTAATATAGAACATTTACTAAGAATATTTAGACTCTATATCAATCTTGATTAGTGATAATAGTACATTACACATACTTTACAATATTTGTATTAATAACAGCTACAATTTTAAATCTTTGATAGGAACATCTTATGGTATTGGTCTTTGCCACTTTCTACCTGCATTCCTGATTCATTTCTCGCAATTCAATTAATATCCCAGGGCTTTCTTCACACCCATCTGTCCAATGAAAAATTTTCTCCACTTCTTCGTTACTTGTAAGGTCACTGCATGTTTAATGTTTGCCGGCTGCTCTTGGTCAATTTGCAAATCCTATCAGTTAAAAAAAAAACACACACTAAGTTTCACAGTTGAATAAATAAAATTCAAATTAATTGCTAACCTTTTATAATCTAACTTTAGACTAACTTTATATATACAAGTTTAGTTTCTTCAATTTTGTGTCAATTTGTTTACAATAATTAAAGGCATTCATGATTATTTGATTAGTGATTTAATTAAAATTTTTCTGTAATATCTAAAGCTTTTCCTAAAGTAAAAAAAAGAAATTATACCTCATATATAGGCCCCGTTTTTAAGTCCCAATCAGGTTCAAGAAAATCACTAGATGACCACCTATATCTTCTCCTTCTACAAAAACATCATATAGGCTATGGTAAATCAGTGCAAAAAAAAAAAAAAAAACAACAACAAAAAAACTTTGCTATATCAAGCCTTCAAGAGTTCTCTGAGCTGACTGAAATGTGGCTAAAACGTAGCAGATTTAGAGCACTTATTTTTATTTATCAACAGACACACATGTATTAAAAACATATACCTACTGTATATAAAATATCTGCATCTTTTGTTAGATATAGCAATCCAATCTCAGTCTTATTGGTGATGGCAATCCCCCTCTTCAAAACATTCTTTTGCCTTCTCTCCAAACAATATGGCAGCCAAGGTTGTTGAATTTTTTATTTCTGTTGTTTAAATTAATTGAAACCAAGCCCGACATTTCAACAGTTTCTCAATCCCGATCAAATTATACATAACAGCTAACAGAAACAGAGAACTGCTGTTAACTCCAAAGCAGTTTTTTTATTACCTGTTATGAAATGAACTGCTGAAGAACAGCTTAAAAACAGCTAAGCTTACTGCTCTAAAGTGAAACAGTTTTGAAAACAGCTATGAAATGAACAGCTTAGAACTGCTAAATAACAGCTGTAAATTTGAAAAACTGGTAAAACACTGCTATCTAACAGCTAAAAACAGCAGTTCATTTTGTCTTGGGGAGATAATGAACAGTATTCAATATCAAAGTCCATAGAACAATACAAAATAGGAGCAGAGCAAACACAGACCTCTAAAACATCAGAGATGGGACCAGGTGCCATGGAGGAGTGAGCATCCCCTGCTGACCGGTCACACCCATGGTGTGCTCCTTGTCATGATTGGGAAATACTTCAATTCAATTCTTCAATTCAGTTTATAAATAATGGACCAACAATAAGTATGAAAAATGTTAGTCAGCATGTGTCTCAATGATAAATTGTATTTGCTGACAAGGTCATTGTATCGACCAAAGAACTTAAGAAATGATGACTTTAAACGAGACTGCTGATGTTCTTGTTTCATCAACTTGTACGTTTGTCAATAATTTGCCTCATTTTAGAAATTGTTCATACATAGAGCATGCTATTGCGAATTGAATCAACTGAGATATATAAAGGCCGTGATGCAGGTGATGAAGAAATATTGCTGCATAAGTAAGGAAAGTTGACGATAGAAAAGTTAAAGTTATCATGTTTATCATATAGCTTGGATGTTAGATTACCATTAACATCTTTTTCAAGTAAAATATCCAAGTATGAAACAGATGTGTCAGACTCTGTGGTATCTTTTATCTCAAGCTCACCAGGATATATCTTATCAACATAGGAATGGAAATTACCATTGTTAATTGACAATCTAAATGTTGAGTTGAAGGCCATGGCAAGTGTTTTCTTCTTTTCACGCATAAGATTTTGCACCAATTCTGCTTTATATGAGTTCAAAAATAGGTCCGCTAATAACGGAGTGCAATTGGTAACCCATGGGAATTCTAATAGATTGTTGGAAGACCTGGTCTCCAAAAACCACATAGATAATGTCAATCAGAAACTCAAGCATCTCTTTGATGTCAACTTCAGAGTACTTGTGTGTGCAATCAGAATGTTTTAAAAAATAATTTTGCAAATGACCAATGACCATGTAAGTAAATTTACGAGTTCCATTTTTATTGAAAAAGCAGCTGTCAATGATATCAAAAAGCCTGGACTTTAATTTATCGTTGGGAATGGTTGTGTATAAAGTTGAAAAATTGTAAGTTTTAAGCTATTGATTTTGGTAAAATCAGAGACATGTAAACCACTTCTCTGAAAATATAAACTGCTAGACACACAGTGAATTTAATTAAGAAATAAACAACAATGTAAAAAAGTTCTCTGGGAAATGAACTTTTAGTTGGTCACGTGATCAAATCCTGTGAAGCCTGAAGGGCTTCTCAGTAGATTTGATCATGTACCAACTAAAAGTTCATTTCCCAGTGAACTTTTTAACGTTGTTTATTACTTATATTATTACATGAACGGGCCGCAATAGCTATGTCGCGACGCGCAATGACCAAGAAGTTGTTTAGTCTAGAAAGTTCACTTATGTCCAACATTTGAATGTTTACATTCTCAGTAGATTTGATCATGTACCAACTAAAAGTTCATTTCCCAGTGAACTTTTTAACGTTGTTTATTACTTATATTATTACATGAACGGGCCGCAATAGCTATGTCGCGACGTGCAATGACCAAGAAGTTGTTTGGTCTAGAAAGTTCACTTATGTCCAACATTTGAATGTTTACATTCATGTTTAGCAGTCCAGTTTAGGACATATCTGTATATAGTGAAAGAACAATGATCGCTGCTGAGAATAATCTAACTATTTCATAAGTTCTTAAAATATTTGAAGTCAAAAGCGGTGATATCGCTTGTCTTTGTTTACATAATACCAAAGGAATTTTGGGTTAAAAGGATAAGGTTTTAGGCTAATCAGAGTATTCAAAATCTTATTTATATCGAAAGAATATTTATTGTACATCTCGTGATTGAAAAATATCCTTATTGTTTTTCATTTCATCTTTTTCGACGTTATGAACTTAGAAATATTCCAAAACAAGTTGCACAGTGACAGAAATATCACCTCGCTCTGTGATTCGGTCGCGCTATGACCTCTGACCCCCAAATAACATTCACACAGAATTGAACATATTTTCTCTTCATTAGGTTCATCTAAGAAAGATATTTGACAAATTCTTCATTTTTAATTTTTTTTACCAATAATTAATCTTACTATTATTAGTGCTATTCAGAGCACAAAGTCTGGTAGAATTTAAAACTACAATTATACACATAAAGTTATAAATTGTTATCAAAATTAATAATTAGATTTTAAAATTTTTGTTAGAACCAAATGGTCTCTTTCTGTAATACTACATGTATTTACATGGTGCGGCTTGGAGGAGAATTTTCTGAACATGGACGGAAATTTTCTGGACATGGTGTGGCACGGTGTGCGTACCTGTGTATTTCAAATTCACACACATAGTACGTGCTACACCATGTGTACACACGGTGTAACACAGAGCATTTCACAATTTTTTTCCACCATGCAATGGGGAAAACTTGTGGCCTGTACTGTAAGTGCAGAGTTATGATGATCTGTGAAATTCATGACCCTGGGTAGGGCTGTGTTGAATCTGTTCTGAAAATGCATTATTTCTTTAAAAATCTTCTCTGATCCTTGGCGTATCAATTAAGCAAAGAAAGTAAATTTTTAAATAAGCAAGGATATTTTCAACAGGATTTTAAACATCTGGAACATTTGGTCAAGTGTTCTGGTCCTGGCCAGGGCTCTATAAATTTGTATTCTACTGAGAGAAGTCACATGTATTCCCCTTTGGAATTTACTTTTGATAATTAATCACTGTAAATGCATGTATAATATTTGAAAAGTTAATAGAATAAGAGAATTATGCAAGAAATGTTATCATACAATTAAAAAAAAACTACTTTCATTGTTTTAATAATCAGGTAGACTTGTAAATAGTAGATTAATAAAAATGACACAAAAATAACTTGCTAAAATGTTTTTCAAAGACCAAGAGAGGCCAATGTGAGAGATTACATATTGGGGTTAAAAATAGTATAGAAGCACTGATAGTTTGTTAATTGTCAGTGGTTGCACATGTAGTGATAAATTGGGGGGAGGGGGCAGATTAGAACTTAATTTACGAGTTGTTACTAAACATTAAACTAATTATTTCATTGATCCTGATCATCCTTTTTCTCTTGCTGTTGGACAACAAAGCTTCATCTACCAGTTTATTTTATATTTTATGGATCCTCTAAGTTGTGTTATACTCAGGTGACTGTTAAGGCCCTTGGGCCTCTTGTCATTTTTTTTTTCTCTTTTATATTTTCTAACCTAAGCTAAAGACTAAACCAATAAACAATGCAGTGAAAAAGTTAACATATCTGGCCTTTTTTTCAGGGTAGAGATGATTTAAGACAAGATGCTATAATGCAGCAGGTGTTTGGTATGCTAAATACTCTGTTTCACAAAAACCCTGATACAAGAAAAAGAAATTTGATGGTGAAGCAGTATAAGGTAAGAATATTAAATCAAAGAAAAGTTAGGGTCACCTACATTTTGTTTTCTATTTCCATTAGTATATTTTTAAGTGGCCTATTAAGTCACTTAAAAACAATTTATTGCTCTCAGTATGTTTATAAGGTCTTCCTTTCCAACGGAAGACCTTCTACTGATTCTGTTGGTAAAGATTATTAAGGTCTTCCGTCTTCAGTGGAAGACCTTATTGTTTTTCTTAGTTTCTTTTCCACTATTTTTATTATTGTTTTTTTTTCTTACCGATTTTGTACGCACGATTTCTTGAGAATGGCTTGATCGATTTTCCTGAAACTTTCAGGTCTGATAGAACATCAAAAAATCTAGATATATATTTTTTTATTTTGATGACGTCACTTCCGGTTCGGAGTTTTCTGCGATTTAGTGATTTTTGGAGGGTCACTTTGTCCGGCAGTTTTCTCAAAAAGCACTTAACACAGAAGCTTGAAATTTTCAGTGATGCTAGAGCAACTTTTGGAGAAGTGCACTAAGTATATCACAACTACCGGAAATACAAAGCGCTGATGCTCGCTATGGCCCGAAAATAGTCCTATCAAGAATAAATTTTAAGCACCTTTTCAACGATAACTTTTTACCTAGAAATATTTTGTTAAAGCATGTAGAATAAAAAAGGTGTAGAATTTCAAGATCTTTCAAATGACATCTTAAAAAAAGGGCTAGCCCCTTAAATCAGGGGCCTGGAGGGGCCGAAAGTTTTTCCTTTATCCCAAAAAGTATTGAAAATTTGTGATACGTCAAAGAAGCAAAGTTGTTCAAAATGTCAAGCTTAATCTATTGAAGTCGTCAAAATACATCCGGCGTCGTCACTTTCGGTCAAACTGGAAGTAGTCGGAAAATGCGTATTTTTGCCGTTCTTGACAAGTTTTTTGGTAACATATGTCCCTGGGAGCATTAAAATTAATTTTCCGTCTGTCGTCGTCACTTCTGGTCAAACTGGAAGTAACAGAAAATGGCTTATTTTTGCAATAATTAACATGGATTTAGAGGATTCAAAGCATTTTTGGGCGTTATTTTTCATTTTTGTTAAAAATGAAAGCTACTTCTGGTCAAACAGGACTGAAGACCTACTCGTTGCTTTGCAACGAGCTTTGCTCTAGTCATTGATTATTGTTTGTTGTCATTAAAGAAGTGCATTGTTATTTTCAACTAGTCTGTTGTTTTCTATATCATGCATTTACTATAAACTAACTTTTATTCATGTCATCTTTCAATCATCATTTGGCTGATATTATGCACTCTTTTTTCCAAGAATATTTTTTTGTGAGGAAGGAGCACTTATTTTGCAACACAATAAGTTTTTCTTTTAGGTGAAATAGGCTATCATACGTACATTCTGTAGTATTACTTAGGTCCTTTTTCGGAGACCTTTTTGGAAATATTGGTCTCCTTGTAGAGTTATAGGCTTTGCCTGTCATGTCCCGCCATCTCATCAATAGCAGTTTGTACAGTGCGGGCATTGTAGCCTATTTTGCATAAGTGGGACTTGAGAAGACCACTTTGCTCCTGATATAAGGCAGGGGACGAACAGATGCGTCGAATTCTGGTGGCACTCCCTTAAAAGTGTGTGGGGGATGACAGCTAGTGTGCATAAGATATAGGTGGGAGTCTGTGGGTTTGGTGTGGAGACTGAATTCGATTTCACCATCAATCAAGGTAGATGTAGTATCTAGGAATATGTTTTTTGAATTAGATACGTCTACTGTAAATTTGATAGACTGAAGAAAGGTGTTGGCAAACATAATGAATGCCTTGAGGCTCTCGTGACATTCCACCCACTTCATCTCTATATCGTCAATGAAATGCAACCAGCTATGGGGCCTAAATGGTGCTTGAAGTAAGAAGTTGCATTCCAGTCTGCCCATGAAAACATTGGCATAAGACAGTGCCATTTTCAAACCCATAGCAGTGCCATTAACCTGCAGGTTGTAACAATCACTATTGCACTTGCGTATATAATTTGAATTTCCCGCGTTTTGTCCCTATGCATACTATTCCCATAAGTCCTTGCAAAATAGCTTAGCCGACCAGAACAATTGAGGCCTGGTCATTCCCGGCAGAGAAACGTAGCTGCAGACACGTTTTTTTTAAGCAGCTAGTATATGTTAATAGCCATACAAGCTTTATCTTGACACTGGCACGGAGACAGGTCCGTGCGTCATGGATATTGGTATGACCTGTGCTTGATACATAGACTGAGCTGAGGGGATCATTGTGACGGCGAAAGGTTCCAGGGACTAAGGCCCGGAAGAGTGCTGTGCGTGGATCCATATAATTGTTGGTGAATGGATAACAGATAAGTCTATCCAAGGAACTTTGAGTTAGCGCTTTATAAGAAAAGGCAAACTTTTGAATTCATTTCTGCATCAAGGATGATGTTGATGATGATGATCGTGATGATGACGAGGATAATCTATGATCTGTGAACATGTTTGGCATTAATAACTGAATTAGATACCCGGGGTGATTGGCTGATTAATGAATTTGTTAATTGGGTAATTGTTGATTACCAATTGTTTTTTTTTTTCTTTGTTTAATTGTTTAGTAGTGAGAAAGGGGGTGTGAATTTGTGTGCGGTAGTTTGTGTGAGATCTTTGTTATTGTTATTATTATTATCATTATTTTTTTTTGTAAATAAATTTATTAAACTTATTGAACTTGTGTGATTCTTGGAGATAGCCAGCTTGACCACGTGACATTTGGTGGCAGCGGTGGGATTGCTGACCCTCTCCAAAATACACATTTTCACTAAGTAGGTGTAGGTTTGCCAAGTAGTTGTAAATACGTTAGGTTAGTTGTAGTAGTTACTCTTGGGATTCCTGTATAGTTACACAGAGGTAAGTGAAAGTATGGTTCTCCCTTACACAGGTTAAAGGTAAGGTGACGTTAGACATATTTGTTAATTAGAAAGAATATTATTCTTGGATTATTAAAGTTTGGTAAGTTGGCTCAGTACTTATAGGCACGATGACAACCATCAAGGAGATGAAGGAACTCTTGGAAGTTGGGACGCAAATGGGACTCAAGGATGCAGAACTTCAACAGTTTGTGAACAATGAACAGGCAAGACTTAGAGACAAACGTGAGAAAGATCGTGCTGAACGTATGGCTAAACATGAGCGTGAATATCAGCTCTAACTGGAATCCATGAAAGAACAAAACGCAGAGGCTGAACACAAGAGGAAAATTGAAGAGATGGAAATTGATCACAGATTTCAAATGATGGCAGCAGAGAGATCACATAAAGTTCTTGAGTCAACTGCGCTACATCACACTGAAACACAACAACCTGTTAGAGGACCAAAATGAGGCAAAAGACAACATCGACGCGTATATACAGCGATTTGAAAGATACGCTATCTCACAGCAATGGCAAAGACAAAATTGGGGAGCTCACTTGAGTGCACTTCTAAAAGGAAAAGCGTTGGATGTGTTCGCTAGATTACCACCAGACAGTGCGTTGGACTTTGATGAACTTAAGAAAGCACTGATGAAACGGTTTGACATGACTGAGGATGCATTCAGAAAGAAATTCAGATCTTCAAAACCTGATGGTAGTGAAACCTTTATTCAGTTTTCAACTAGACTTGAAAGTTACATGGAACGATGGATGGAGTTATCTAAAACGGTTAAGACTTATGAAGGACTTAAAGACTTGATGTTACGTGAACAATTTATTTTGTGTTGTAACAAAGAACTTTCTTTATTCTTGAAGGAACGAATTCCTCCTTCTATCCAGGATATGGCCAGATATGCTGATCAGTATGTTGAGGCGAGAGCAACTTGTTCATCAGCTGTTACACAAAGACCAATCTTCGACAAGAAAGTTTCCTTTGGAAAGCAATTATCTTTTCCAAGTTCTAGTGAAGGAACCAAAACCAGTGGTGGAATCAAGTGTTTTAATTGTGATAAATACGGACACAAGCAGTTTGATTGTCCTTCGAGGAAATCATCAGCAATTAAGACAAACACACAGGAAAAATTTGATAGACCACAGAAACCACAACAGGGATTCAACAAAAATGGACGTCGCTTTTCGCAAGGAAAAGAACACGACTCTTCTCATGTTGGTGCACATAAGCCGCAAAGTGACATTAATTCAGTTGATGATGGAGTGATGCCAGTTGTGAAAGGATGTGTTGGCTATAAACTTGTGACAGTGTTAAGAGATACCGGATGTCGTGGTGCGGTGATTCGAAAAAGTCTGGTAACGTCAAACCAACTGACTGGAAAAACTCACAAATGCATGCTTGCTGACGGAAGTGTAGTAGATGCAGATGTTGCGATAGTTGAAGTTGACACACCATATTTTACTGGAACAATCGATCTCATGCTTTGAAACACCAATGTTTGATGTGATTCTTGGGAATTTTGATGGTGTTCGGAAACCAGACAACCCGGATATTCATTGGATGAAAACTTCTACACCTTCATTTGCTGTTGAGACACGCAGTCAACTCAAGAAGAAGCAGTTACCTTATAAACCATTGAGGGTCCCTGAAACTCTACAAGATGTATCACGTGATGAGATGTTAAGTGAACAGACGAAGGACGATTCATTAAGCAGGAGTTGGGACATTGCTAAACAAGGGACAGTAAAGGAGCTCGGTGATGGAGGTTCAACCAGGATGTTTATACGGAAGCAATTACTCTAAGAGAATTCAGTAGTCCAATGGTGTCAAATGGAAAGACGTATCGACAGTTGATGGTTCCAAAGAAGTATAGACCAATGGTTATGAAGATGGCCCATGAATGTCTTATGGCAGGACATTTAGGTGTTAAAAAGACTACAGATAGAATACTAGCAGAATTCTTTTGGCCAGGAGTACAAGCAGATGTCAGGCGATTTTGTTGTTCGTGTGACGTATGCCAACGAACAATACCTAAGGGAAGAGTACCTGCAGTTCCTCTTGGACAAATGCCCATGATATCAGAACCATTTCAACGCATAGCTGTGGATATTG